TCCAGGAGTGTCTTTGTTCATGCTGTTTGTTAACTTTGCCTGGAACAATCATAGCTTTTGTAGGGAAAGAGGCAATTTGTCTGACTGTAGCAGAGGGTTTGTAGATAAAGGCAATATTTGAATAAGTAAGGTGAGACCAAATTATTAAGGCTCTTCAAATCAAACAAAAGAGTTTCAATTTGCTCTAACAGGAGTAAGAAACAATGGTAAGTTACTGAGCAAGGAAATAATGGCACAAAAACATTATTTTAGGGAAATGTGTCTGGGAGCAATAACGTAGGGAGAAATTGAAGACAGAGAGACCAACCATTTCAATAGTCAATAATGGTCCAGGCAAAAGGAAATGAAAACCTGAGTGTTCTATATACCACCTTCCTCCCCAGTTGAATATAATCTCTTTGAAGGCAGAGACTGTTTTGGTTTCGGTTTCCTGTCTCTACAATGCCTAGGATATAGTAGATGCTTAATAACTGCTTGTTTGTTAAGCATGAAGGAACAGAGAGTATGAATAGTGGCAGAGGAAATAGAGAGGAAAGGAAAATCTGAGAGATGTTTCAAAGTGGGAAAAATAGTATTTGGTAACAGATTAGGCAAAGGAGACCAAAGAGAGAGAAGAATTAAAGATGACAACAAGTCTGGAAATTTTGATAGTACAAGTGATGGAAATGAGAAAGCTGAGTAGTGGGGTGGGATGGGGTGGGTTTAAGGCCAAGATAGTAAGCTCAATTTAAGCATAAGTTTTAAGATGACAGTGGAACATCAAAGCAGAGATATTCCATACTCAAACAACATATGGGATTGGAGAATTGGTGAGAAGTTGAGACTGAAGATAAAGCTTTGAGAATCATCTGCATAGAAGAGAGAGTTGAAGTCATGAGGGTGGATGAGCTCACTGAGGCAGTATGTGCAGGGAGAGAAGAGCAGAGGGTCAACTCCAGAAAAAGTGGGTGGTTAACAGTATCAAAAGTAACAGCAAGATTGAAGAGAATGAAGCCTGAGAAATGGCCATTGGATTTGACAAGAAAAAGGTCATCAGTAACCTTTAAGAGAGCAGTTTTTGTGGAGTGGTGGGGGTGGAAGCCAGATTGCAGTGACTTCAGATGGTAAGAAGTGGAGGCTGTGTGTGTAGACCACATGTTTGAGGAGTTGGCAGCAAAAAGAAGAAGGGAGTGGATGATAGCTAGAAGGGCTGCAGGCTCAAGAAAATATGTTTTGTTTTGTTTTGTTTTAAGATAGGGGAGGCCAGAAAGAAGGAACCAATGGAAAAGAAGATACTACAGATGCTAATGTATATCACACAGATAACTGTGAGAGTAGAGACTCAAGTGGAAAAGTAAATAGGGTCATTTCTAAAGTCATTCCTAAAGTAAAGGAAAAGGGACAAAGTACATATGGGGCCTCTGGGCACCAAAGGGAACATTGTCTCATCATTTGGGTAAGCTGATAATAAGGGTAGAGTCAGCCTTGTATGGAAGATCTGTATGGAATCATTGACCTAGATGCCTAGTTCCCTGATGCCTTCACTGATAGCTCCTCAAGGTTTGGAGTCTCAAGCTGCAAAAAAGTGAATCCACCAGTCCTAAATCTCCATGGTATACTGGAGTCAAAAGACCCTGGAGGTTGGGGGACTTGGTTATATAATTCTTTCCCCATCTTATGGTTGGCAAACTCCCATTTCCTGTGCCTCTTAAGCTTGTGATTCAAAAGTTATCTGCTGAGTCAACAATCCTTTCTCCTTGCTACTTCTTCCCCAGTCCTCATTCCTATCCACCTTAGTTCTGTTTCTCCATGGTCCCTATATTCCTCTGTCCTACCATTCTATTCCATTCTCTGGAGCCCCTACCTTATTGTTTAACAATATCTCGTTCATTGTAGATCTCTACATCTTATACTCTTTGTACTTCACAGAAATCTGGCTCTCCAGAAGACGCTACATCATTGAGTACCCTCCCTATAAGTTGGTTGTTCCTTCTTGAATGCCCACTCTCTACTCTTGGCTAGAAGGAGGAGTCAGTCTGCTCTTTGCTACTTCCTGACCTTCCCTCTACCACTCATCCCTCTCCAGACTCTCCTCATTTGAGGTTCACTCCATCCCTTGATATCTCTATCCCAGTCCTAGGTGTTCCCATCTACTTAGGACATTCCTCCTCCCTTCTCTAAGAGTTCATTACCTGTCTCATAATATTCCTTTATATCCCTCTTTGTGCCCTTATATTTGGTGACTTAGATATATGTGCAATTTTCCCTTCCACTGCTTTCTGGTGATTTGGTTTACACCATCACCTATAACTGTGCCACCTCCTTTATCTCAAACTCTGAAATTCCCCTTTATTTTCCTAATTTCCTCTCTTTCTATCTCCCTCTATACTTCACTTCTAAACTTATTATTTGCCCTCACCACAACTCCTTCCATCCTATTCTCTTTTAGTCAACATCAATCATGTTCTGACTCTGCATTCCTATCTTCATACATTTGATTCTATAGTTGACCAATTTAGCTACCCTCCACCCTTGAAACCCTTGTCCTTTTATCTTGCCAACATTTATGCTCTGCTAATCCTGAGCGCAAGATGAACCTCACCATCTGATTTCTCTCTTCCTATTCCTATTCTGCTAAATGCTGCCAAATGATGTTACATAACTAGACTAACTGGATCATTATAAGTATATGTCATCTAATCTCAACTGGGCTGTCTATGCTACAAGATAATCTTTTCATTCTCCCCAAAAAGACACTCTATCACACTCTCCAGATCAGCTGTTTCAAGCGTTATTCTTTTTTCCTCATCTTCTCTATGTCTCTCTGATGCCCTGTCTCTTAGTCGATTGCCTTGCCTCTAATTTTACTGAGAAAATTGAAGTCATCAGTCTTGATCCCTTTCTCATTTCCTCTGCACCATACCTTGAAACCACTATACATCTCTAGTCAGTCTGTCCTCTGTTCTAGTCTCTGAGGGAGGACAGGCCTCTTCTCCTTATCAGAGCTAACCCGTCTACTTTTGCCTTCGCTTCTTCTCTGGGTGTTTGCCAGAGGGATCATTCCCTCCCCTCCCATCTTCTGTGTCTCCCTTTCTCCTGGTTCCTTCCCTGCTGCCTGTAAACATCACCAGATCTTCTACATCCTTAAAAAAGTCTCTCCCTATATAATTAGGCTTCTGACCAGAGTTACTGATGGCCTCACAAGTTGGCCCTCATCCTCTTTGACCTTTCTGTAGCTTTTTACAGTGTTGCATGCTCCTTCCTTTCAGGTATAGTCCTTTGTATTCTGTAGTGTTACTCTCTCCTGATTCCCTTCTTATCTTTTATCACTTCCTATGTGCTCACCAGTGAGAAGTCCATGATTTGAGAAGATAAGAAGACCAAGGGTAGAGCGGTGGGGAACACCCATCCTTTTTCAGGTTCATCATCCTTTTCTTCCCTTCTCCTTCGTCCTTCCTTCTCCAAAGATGGATATCCCCTAAGATTTTTTTCCTGGGTCCTCCCTTCTTCTCAAATTACAAGATCTCTACCGGTGAGCTCATGAGATCTCATGGGTTCAATTATTCTCTTTATGCAGATAGCTCCCAAATCCATCCCAAATCTCTCTTCTGAGTTCCAGACCCACATTGCCAACTGCCTGCTGAATATGTCCTTAAGTTAAATAAGCATCTCAAATTCATCATGTCCAAAACAGAATTCATATTCTTTTCCCTCAAATTTTCCCCTCTTCCAAATGTTTCTATTACTATTGTTGTCATTCCCATTCTCTTATGCCACCCAGGTTTCTAATGTCATAGCCACTCGACTTTTCTCTCTCCTTTACCATCATCTCCTTTCACACAATATATCTCAGGTTTGTTGCCTTCTCTACATTCACTTTCATTCAAGAACTCATCACCTCTTGCCCAGATGATTGTAATAGCCTTCTAATTGTTCTTAATTCAGTCACTCCTGTCTAATTCATATCCTAAATTTGCCAAAATAATCTTCCTAAGGCACAGTGTGACCATGTCATTATCCTGCTCTTAAGCCTTGTGGCCCTCTGTTGCCTCTTATTCTGACTCAAAACCATCTTTCAAGTCTTTGTAGAATTTCTACCTTTCATGCACTCTACATTCCATCCATATCAGATTATTAGTCATTCTTCGAATTTGACACCCTATCTCCTGCCTCCATGCATTTTCAGAAACTTTCCCTTCACCCTTATCACTCAGAATACTTGTCTTCCTTCAAGATTCATTTCAAGTGCCACCTCTTCCAAAAGGTTTTGCTTGATTTTCTTTTTCTATAATAGCTAGCATTCATATACTTTAAGGTTTACACAGTATTTTACAAATATTATCTCATTTTGTCCTCATAACAACCCTGGTAGGTAGGCACTGTTTTTATTCTCATTTTGACAGGTGAGGAAATTGAGATAAACTATGGCTTAAATAACTTGTCTGAGTCAGGACTTGAAATCAGGTCTCCCTGACTCCAGATCCAACATTCTATCCACTATGCCACCTAATTGTCTTTCAATTGCCTTGAATTATACTTGTTGATATGCATATTGTATATCACTCCCCCAGTAGTATATGAACCCTTGACTACAAGTATGATTTTATCTTTATATTTGTATTCCTAACTCTGTGTATAGTGTCTTGCACATAGTAGATATTTAATAATGTTTGGTGAATAGATGTGAATTTAATTTCCTCCTGAGTTTACATATATGTTGGAAATATATTGGAAATTGAGATGACATTAATCTGCGAACACATTTTATCTGTAAAAGTATAAGCTTCTGAAATTGATCCTAGCTGCTGTACATCTGCCTATGAAACTAGTTTTCTAGGTACTTATGTAATGTCTATCACTTTTACATCTTTAACTTTTATGCTATTTTTAGTACACGTCACACAAGGTATGAAATAGTAAATAATATCTCTTGTGTTCTTACTGCTACCAGTGCATGGTGGTACTTACCCCTGGTTCTTCTACAGGTATTAGAAGTAAGAATCTTTGTTTCCTCCCAACAGAAAGGATGTGGGTACCATCTGGATTTACTGATGGTGGCAGTCATGCTTGGCGTGTGCTCCATTATGGGACTCCCATGGTTTGTGGCTGCCACAGTTCTCTCAATTACTCACGTGAACAGCCTGAAACTAGAATCTGAATGTTCAGCTCCAGGGGAACAACCCAAATTTCTTGGCATCCGAGAACAAAGAGTTACAGGGCTCATGATTTTTGTCCTTATGGGTTCATCTGTCTTTATGACCAGCATTCTCAAGGTAAATCAGGCCTAACTTTATGCATGGAATCAGGAGGCAAAGTATATGTGTCATTGTAAATGATGAAAATTTCCATTTTGCAAAAATGATTCATTGAATTGGTCAAAATGGTAGATTGTGTTATCTTTAATATATTCTTTATATAAATGTTCCTAGCTAATTTTACCAAAAGCAAAAACATGACCTTTACTGAAAGCAAAAACTTCCAGTTTACTTTTTGAAGTCCTCTTTTAAGTACATGGGCCTCAGTTTCTTCATAAATAAAATGAGAGGGTGAGAGATGTTGCTAGGTGGCGCAGTGTACAGAGCTCTGGCCTTGGAGTCAGGAGGACCTGAGTTCAAATCCAGCCTCAGACACATAACACTTACTAGCTGTGTGACTCTGGGCAAGTCACTTAACCCCAATTGCCTCACAAAAAAAATAATAATAATAAAGTTTCTTTCAGCTGTAAATCTTTGATCCCATGCACATAAACTTTAATTTGACAAAGTGAATGTCTAAATTGAAGGCATCTAGGTGGCACAGTGGGTGGAGCACTGGGCTTAGAATCAGGAAGAATCTTCTTTATGAGTTCAAATCCAGCCTCAGACACTTACTAGTTGTGTGACCATGGGCAAGTCACTTAACCTTGTTTGCCTCAGTTTCCTCATCTGCAAAATGAGCTGGATAAAGAAATGGCGAACCACCCAATCTTTGTCAAATGGGGTCGTAAAGAGTCGGACATGACAGAAAACAATTGAACATCATCTTGAAATGGTTAAATTAAATTATAACTGTGATCAAGTTCTTGGCAAAAGGCATTTTTTTGTTTCTGACTGACATCATTGATTTTTTTTTGCAATAAAAATCTGACATATCCTGAATTTGATTCAGGTTCAAACTAAGTAAAGGGTCTATTTTCTTCTCAGCGGGCAGATATAATTCCAATTAATGATATTGAACATTGCATAGAGGCACTGAGATGAGCAGAGACTTGTCCATGGTCACATTTGCCATCTCCTATTCTAAATACACCGTAAACCTATTTCATGGCAATTGTCCATGCATGCATTCATTTTCTTATATTTAAAAGGGGTATTCTAGCCATTGTAAAACTTTAAATAATGGTTGCTTTATCTCACATAGTTTAATGAACGTTTCCAATCTAATCTAACTAGATTTTAAGCTGTTACCTTTTTCAGTTGGCTACAACTTAAAGAATATAAACAAATTATTTTGCTTTGAATTAGAATTTTAAGAATTCTGTACATTTTATCTTGTCCTACAAGGTTGCATCCTATAGTAAATGAGATGATGCCCAAACTGCAGGATAAAAAGGGGAAAATGCAATTGTTTACAAGTTTCCAGCCTGGTGTTGACAAAAGCAACTAGATATTAACTGTATTTTTCTCTTTTTATCTTGATATTTTAGCATTGTAAAGACAAAGCTCAAACTTTCTGAAAAGTATATTGTAATATATATTTTTCCTTCTACTATAGCCACACTAGGAATATTTTTGGTAAGCATGAAATACCATCTCACAATGATATCTGAAAATACTAAATCGTATGTTATTCTCTGCTCTGATTTTCCTCCCTTTCCAGTTTATTCCAATGCCAGTGCTTTATGGGGTATTTCTTTACATGGGTGCCTCATCTCTAAAGGGAATTCAGGTAAGTTTGTCATGATAAAAACTTGTAGCAATCTCTACAAAGTACTATATTATGGTAAATTTTACAGACAATGGGAAAGCCAGTTTAGGAACTAACATTAGAACATATCTCCTGTGGTCCCCCTAAATTGGATAAGATTTGCCATGACTGCAAAAGGCCAAAGTAGAATCTTCTAGCCAGTCACTAGCTTTTCTGAATCTTAGCTTTCTTCATTTATAAAAAGAAGACGCTGGACTAAAAATCTTCTGAGGTCCCTTCCAACTCTCTATGTTTATCCTATCACAGTCCTACAGAACTGTATTTATCATTAACAAATTAACACTGTGGGATTAAACATATTCCACGCACAAGAAAAAGAATGAGCATTTTCTGAGTAAGTAAAAAGATATTATTAATATTGTAGAAGTTGGGAGCAAACTATCAGTGCTTAATATTTTCCTTTGCATTTTAACTTCCTTGCTGGGTTCCATAACTCAATTACATCAAAACCAAGCGTTTTATTGCTCTCAGAATAAAAGAATCTATCGCTCTAGGGTAAGTTTATTGAGAAGTTTAATTTATCACAGGTTGAATAAAGGAACTACATAAACTGTATCTTCTTCTAATAACAAGACTACTCTGAATTCTCTCATTTGTCTGTGTATTAAAAACATGGAAAAGAAAAGACTCAAGGTTGGATGAGAATCATTCTTGGCATCAGGCCAGCCCAGAGTCCCTTTTGTTGGGTAAAGAACCAGCTTCTGACACTCCAAAAAAAAAAAAAAAAAAAAAAGAGAAGAAGAAGAAGGGTAGAAGCCTGGCCCTGAGATCAACATTGAGACAAAACATGTGTAATTTGCGGGAGATCTTGAGTTGATTTCTAAGTGTCCTTCAAAGGAATGAGACAGTAGGGGTGACCGGTATTATGCTAGATGGAGTTGATTCTTCCAACGGAGGTTATAGGGAGTAGCTGCATAATGTAATTTCCCCACACAAAAGTTCATTCGTTCCAAGAACTTTTCCTCCAGAAAAGTGCACTTCCAATGATTCTGGCTTCCGTTAGGCAATCAGGGAAAAGTGCCGGAAGAGGTTTTGTTTGTTTGTTTTGCTGTTTTTTTTTGCCTTTGGCAAAAGTTCCACTAGCATTAATTTCATCTCTAAGTGAAAAGTATTTATTATTAGGCCCCAGGCTCACATAAATACAGCAGCATAAGTTTAAGAAACAAAGTAAAATAGTTTTGATAGGTTTCGACAGATTTTTTCCCCTAATTCCGCTCACATGATTTTGTACCCATGAGGTTTAGAATTAAACAAAAATGTCAAGTTTTGGAATTCTTTGGGGTGTGAATCTTTCAAATGAGAATTGAGGAAAACATTACCCAAAGACCTAGGAGAGAAATCTAATGAGTTTTAAGTAGCAACAAATGAAACGGGATGAAAAGTCTTTCATGGAGAGTTTATTGAAAATAGAAGTGGAGCGTCCAAGTCTTGTACTTCAAATATTCATGATTGTAGAGAAATGGAAAGGCAATCGGAAGAAAAGAAAAATATAATATTTACATATTTTTAAATAAACATTGTTAATATTACTTGAAGGTTAGTCATTGAACATTTGTTAAATGCCAGTATTAACAAGGGAAAAGTTAAATCGTTCCCCTACGTGTGGGAGGATTCTATAGAAGTTACCTGGTTGTTTGGCAATATTAAGAAACTTATTATGTAGGCTTCTCACTCTGAAATGTGGTAGAAAAAACACAGAGAGAGATCACGGTGTTCTCACGTACACTGTTTTTGTATTCAGCTGCACAGTCACTTCTATATTCATTCCAACACTTTGAAAACCCAAAGTAAAGCAAATGTGCCACCTAAACAATAACAATTCAGACACCCACACACCAAGGTACACTTATGCAATTACACAGCTTCACAATTGGGGAAAGGTTTGCTGGGAAAAATTAGTTCTATAAAATCTGAGACATTCATATGTTAAGCAAGTGATTTTCTCTTGCTTTCCCCCTCTTTTTAAGGAAGGTTCCATTTTATGAATTTTGCTCCACACACAGAGATATGAAGACAGATTACTTTTTTAAATACTCAAATAAATGATTCAAAAGACTCTTCTTGTTTATCCTCCATTGAACAGTGTCCTCCAAATACATATAGGATTGCAATGATGATTCGTTGTTTAAAATTATAGTAATAATGATGATTCATCTCCTCAAGAACCTTCTCAGCTAAATAGTAGCGGGTAGAATTGAGTTGAGCAGATAAATGAATCTCCCCCTAATGTCTTATCCAACTTCCTAATAAAAATGGAATGTGATTATCAAATTTTACAGGTTCTCATGTTTATTAAGATGAGAGCATGGGACTGATTGCAGGGACAGCTTAGTGCTATTGAAAACCAGGAAACTCGAGGGACCTAACACTCAAATAAGATGAAAAAAATGTGAATGGAGTATCAAGTGAAGCTAAAATGTTAAGACTGCAACATCAATTTATGATGATATGGTTCGTCTTTCTTATTATTTATCAAAACAATTTAATTTAACTTATCTTACAGTTCTTTGATAGAATAAAGCTTTTCTGGATGCCAGCAAAACACCAGCCAGATTTCATATACCTACGGCATGTACCCCTTCGAAAAGTCCATCTCTTTACCATCATTCAGATGAGTTGCCTCGGCCTCCTATGGATAATCAAAGTTTCAAGAGCTGCCATCGTCTTTCCCATGATGGTATGAAAACACTATTATCTCCTTATTAGCTCCCTCTGTACAAAGAGCTGTTATCTGGCATATGGACATTTTATTGGATCTTCCATTCAGAGGATGGGAAGAGGGAAATACAATACAACTGAAACCAGTTCATTTTGGTGAGATAGTAGATTAAAACTAGTCACTAAAATTAGGGTTTAGAATACCTGTAAATTTCAATTATCCAGGTTACTTTTGTCTCCTTAACAGTGAGGATAAGTGACAAAGGATTAAATTTGGGAGGAAAAATGAATGTTTAAAAATCATTCAAACTTGAGATTAAGGTGTAAATATCATGATGAAAGGAGTATTTTGGAATCAAATGAGTTTAAGTCTCTCAAATGTTCCATAATTTAAAAAGAGATACTCAGTACAATATAGAATTATGCTGTTATTAGTATCCATAAGAGTTTCTTGTCTCTAATGATGATGTTAAGATGCAAAATAGTTAAAAATTTTAATGAGGTAGGCAAGATAAGTTTATCTTAGCCCTAATTTGTAATAGAAATGTGAATTTTAAAATTTCTTCCGCCATCATAATTATAATATGCCCAACTCTTCCATATTGAGGCCTACAATACTTTTAAAAAAAGTATCACTTATGTGCTAGGAGTAATTTTAAGTTCTAAACACAGTTCAGATGATATATGCACTATATACTGCTATACTAACATTTATTTTTATATCAACCCAAATAAAGCATTTCAATGTTATTTGACATGTTTCCATTAAATGTATATGCACATATAATAGGCTTACTATGCTTTGAAATTATGCCCCTGTTTGATACAGGTGTTAGCTTTGGTGTTTGTAAGAAAATTGATGGATTTACTTTTTACCAAACGAGAATTAAGTTGGTTGGATGATTTGATGCCTGAGAGCAAGAAAAAGAAATTGGAAGATGCTGAAAAAGAGGTAGGTCAAAGGAAAAACAGTATTGGATTTTTTTTTTTCATTTTAAAATTCAATTCTCTTTAGTAATGAAACTCATCATTTCCCACCCAACCATTGGCCCTGAATAGCAAAAGTTATTTGAAACAACTAGATTACCCTATTTCATTTTATGTAATCACTGATCCTGACAGATGTGAATTGGATTGATGGAAAGTTTACAATCTGACACCAGAAAACTGGCATTTGGACAAAAAAAAGTGCATACTTGATGTGTTTAAACCTAGACACACTGAAAATATGAGGCTATTTTAGGGAATGATAGCTTCTATTTATAGAGTGAGCCAAGTCACAAATTCCATTAAATTCATAAGATAATTTGGACATTTATGTACACAATCTTCAGGTGCTATGATTGGTTTCAAAAACCCCTATCCTAAGTATAGCAGACAGCTGATAATGAATTGTAGTGTCTTCCAATCCCTACATGTATAAGGACTGACTTGGCTGAACGTGTAAGAGGGCAAGGAACAAATTATTAATGGCATTTTGTTAGAAATAAGAAATGTGTTGGTCAACAGACTACAACAAAAATGTTGTTGGTCATTGGTTAGTTTAAATACTGAATAGTGAGAAATGTTGCTTTGACTTGCTTTTTCAAAATGATGGAAGGTTGACTTAATTGAGCTGTTTTCAGAGAAAACTTTTCTTATTTTCATGGTCTTCTTCTCTGTCCCATGTTGTTTCATATACTAAAAGAAATATGTCACTTCTTGGTGCTCCTGCACTATAATTCATTACTTTCAATGGGATAAGGTTACTTTTACTTGGTTTGTCATTCCTAAATTTTGGGAGCTATTCTTATATCTACTTAGGCAGATATAAAATTATGTAGAAGCCATAGAGTTTGCAGATGACAAGATTAACTAGTAAACTATTTGACACATTAGTTAATCACATCAATTTAAAGATAGAAAAAGAGAAATGAAGTTAACATTTAAAAGAAAATATTTATGAGAGCTTGGGAATTAATCTTTATATTTATTCTCTATGAGAGGTATAGTGAATTTGTCCGCTTCCTTCAACCATCAAGTTTGTTAGTATATCCACACATATGTTCCCTTAAACTATTCTAAGGGTCTTCATTTTTGCTCAGCCACATCAGTGTCTTTCACTATTTAGACAGCAAAGACTCCTCATGAGACTTCTGTCCATTGTTTCTTGGAGAACTGTCTCTCAGTGGTAGGACTGGATTGTTGTAGGTTTCTCCTGTGGTCATTTGATTCTAAATGGTCTCTCCACTCTTGGTGACCTAGCATGATTAAATAACTTTGTCCTAGAGAATACCTGAGAACATTAGCTTTTGTAAATGATCTAGAAAGCTTTTTTTTGAATAGCATTTTCTCCAGTGACATGTTTGAATTCTAGTATGACCACTAGTTCTGTATCTTTCCAAGTGCACTACAGAATTTAGTATTTTAAAATTTTGATTGAGACATAAAAAAGCAAATCCCTACAAGCACAATATCCAATAGTATTGGTTTTCTTTTCTAACCTTGGTTTTAGTTCATTTCTAGTGTGTTTGTTCTTTAGACAACATACACCCCCTCCCAAAAAGGCAGGGTGGGACTCAATACAGACTAAGCCTAAAGGAGATAGGAATCAACAAACAAATATTTTTGAAGGGTAAAGGTACTGACACTTGAGGCTAAAGGGCCACCTGACCTTTCTGTCCTCAAATTACCTTGTACATGTTGTATTTCCTTTCCACAGGTGCCACTCTCCAAAGGGAATATAAATCCCTTGAGGACAAGGATTATTATGGTTTTATCTTGGTACCATTTGATCTAGTACAGTACTTTGCACATAGTAAACAACCTATCAAATGTTTGTTGAATTGAGTTGGGCTAATTTAATTAATTATATTTATTCTCAATTCCAGCTTTCTAGCTGAATGCAATTTGCAAGTTAGGTTTCTGAACAAAAAGTTTACATACAAAGCTTGCTGAATGTGATCCTCCCAGCCTTTCTAACCTTTCATTTATTATTGAACACACCAAAGCAATAACTAATATCTTATTTTCTGTGACTGCCTGGTTTTTATCTTCTATTGAATGTCTATATTTCATCACCTCTTATGAGACAACCATACTAACTGCTTCATTAATATAGTTAACTCACCTATGACTCTCCTCTCAGGTCATGCCCTATACCTTGAACATTCTCCCTTTCCAACTTACCAAGGTCATTTTCTTCTCTCATTATTTCCTGCTTTTAAAACTGATTCCTCATGAGATTCTAGAGCAAAATTTTGTTCCTCCAAAAGAATGTTCTTCATTCAAAGTACATTAAATCCCTTTCCCCTTTATCTCTCCTTGGAATGATGAGAAAGTAACATGTATTATACGGTTTTCTTCTACCCTCTACAAGATAAACCATGGTACCTTACTTTCCATCTTCCTTTAGATTTAACTGTTTTCACTATTCCAAACCACTCATACGATATATTTTGTAAAACTTCACCTGGACATTCTATAGTGTTTTCCTCTTGAATGTAATTCCATATGTCTTTCTTGCTGGTTTTAACTTCCCTGAGAGTAGAGATCCTGTCTGAGTAACTGCCTTTTTATAGCACATAGAACAGTACAATATTCCATTAGCTGCTGAGTATGTTTTGACAATAAGGAAAATCTTAAAAACAGAAAAAATAATGCCTTAATTTATAGAGATATTTGTTTCCAAAAGTACTAAATATGATTGATTTGGAATGTCCAAATTGCATATGTGTATACTAAGACAGAACTTTGGTATGAGACAGAAAACCCAGAGCTACAATGGAAAACGGATCCCCTCTGTCTGATTTGAACCATTAACCATTAGGTTTCTTGCATTCCCTTCCCTCTTCTTTGATTTATTAGTTGTGAAATCTTTGACAAGTCATTTCATTTGTTGGACTCATCTATAAAATGAAGGGGTTGGACTATAATAACTGACATTTCTATGGTGCTTTAAGCTTTGTGTCCTACTTTACATACATTATCTCACTTGAAACTCAACAACACCCTATGATATAGGTATTATAGCTACCCACATTTTAAAGCTACAGAAATTGAGAGTGAGGTGTGTTAAGTGGCTTACTTGTTCATGGTCACACAGTTGGTAAATGTCAGAGGCCAGATCTGAAGCCAGATCTTCTTGATCCCATGTCCAATATTTAATCCAAATCTAGTACTTTACTGACTATGCCATACTGCTTCTAGGTGACTTCTAAGGTCTCTTCCAACTCTAATCTATTTTGGATCTACTGTTGTTTAACTATAATATGGGAAGAAAAATAAGGCCAATGACAGTGTTGAAATAATCTCTTGTTGAACACAAAATAAATTCCTGACCAGTGCAGAGATAATTATGCATCTGACAGTTGGAAAGAACAAAAGAAGCATAGAAATGTTCATTCTTCTGCTTGAAATAAATATTAAAAATGTCCAGTCAATATGGAGAGTAGGAGGGTTAGACTAAAAACTCCCATGGGTTTATTTTCAACTTTGTCCAGCAGACCTCAGCATTTGGCTTCCTGGAGACTTATGGTATCAACAGCAGGATGGAGCCAGTCAAGAGAACTCATTGTGTCTTACTGGGTTTTTCCTATTCCATCATTCAGTTTTCTAGCATATTGTCCAATAAGATGATAAATGGATCAAGGGAGTTGTCAAAACGCTTTCTTCAAAATATTGCATTTCTCCAATAGTCTGAACTAGTAGAGCAACTTCACTGGAAGTCTGGCAAGATGGCAAATTTCAGGAATGTCTCTAATGTAACATCTAAGCTGCTCCCTGAGACTCGAATTTAAAGCAGGTTCACCTCTTGTCCTGCTGATGATAGTTACAAGTCTGTTCTTTTATCCTGTGGGGTTTTCCTCCCAGTAACATACTTCCGGTCTCATGGCATTGAGAAAACATTAGGTTGACCTTAAAATTCAATAATGAGCTAAGCAGAATAAATAGCTACACAGGCCAGTCCAAGGTCGCAGAGCTTCTGTTCCAAATTTCCATGTGCTTCATGCATATGCATATGCATATGTTTCAGTTTTTAGAAAGAAAGGATTATAATCAGGGTAGAAATGAATATTGGAACCCTGACATTTTACACATTGCTCTGTGTAAATGAAAGACTTAAGAATCAAATTCTGGATGTCCAAATGTGTCTGAAACACCAGCACCCCTCCCTAGTTAAATATTTCTCAAGACTTAATATCTATCAAATAGAAAGGACTTTATATATTTCACTAATGAGGAAGAATGTAGGTGCATTTTTTGACCAAGTGGATTAGAGAGTCTGTTTCAGACAAATCTCAGTGACTTATGTTTTCCTAGAGTTTGAGCTGTGAGAAAGTTATAAAGTCATCTGCTTCATGTTGAGTATAAGTCAGTTGAATATTCACCATGTATGGAAGCATTAGAGGAGAGACAAAAGAAATAGAAGACAAGGTCCTCCAGAAACTTACAGTCTATTGGAGAGACATAACACCCACAGCAAAGAGACATAGGAAAACCTACAAATGCACCCATTGAGGTAGCAATCATTTGAGTACTTGGTGGCTGAGCACAATCCTAGGGCTTGGTCTGGAAAGGTAGAAGCTAGTAAGCAATGCTTAATGAAAATAAAGAGAAGTAATGGAATTGGAAACTAGGAGGAAATCTCTTGTCTGTAGAAATTTTTCCAAATGCAGTAATTGGATGCCGTTGGGAGGACTTTTCAGAAGTCTGAAAATTTTTGAATTTTCAATAAATGTCCATATTTTCAAAGGATATTGGATGAGCTTCTTATTCCGTAATTCCTTGTCTTTCTGAATATGTCCTACTCAAAGCATTTTTTAAAATTATCAGAAAAAAAAGTGGCTTTGCAATTGTACCTTGTTGGTACTGTACAAGGGGCTCCAGGTGAGGCACTTTTTTTTTTTTTTACCAAAACAAGTCTGCACCTTCATTGCAATTTAGTCTTAGAGGACTGCTTGGGGCACTGAGTGTTTTGGAGATTTGCTCAGGGTCTCTCAGCCCATATGCTGGGAATTCAGTTCTTCCTGACTCTCAGACCAGCCACCAATCCACTAAAGCTGCCCTTTCTTCTACCATATGGAAATGGTTGGTCTTGCTTTTCTGGGCTTTAAACTGTGGTGCTTGATGATACCTTAGTAACTTAATGATAATGGTAATAACAAGAATAATGTCTTGTATTCATAGAGGCTTTAGATTAAGAATGCTTTCCCACTTGTCTGCCTGGTCCTTAATTCATTTATAGTTTAATGACTATAAGAGCCCAGGAAGAGAAGAGATACAGTAGCATTTATATAGGACCTAAGATGTACCAGGCACTGTTTTAAGTGCTTTACAAATATTATCTCATTTTATCCTCACAACAGCTCTATGAGGTAGATGCCAATATTACTCTCATTTTACAGTTGAGGAAACTGAGGCAAACAGAAATTAAGTGACTTGCCCAGGGTCATACATCTAATAAGTGTCTGAAGTATCTGACTCAAGGCCCAGCATTCTATCCATTATACAATCCTAATGTGACTGAGACTTTTATTTTTGATTTAGAAAGTGGTTAAATCAGAATTTTTATTTGCCCAAGGGTGAAGTTATGCTTTGGGCATCTCAAGGACCATAGATTTGTTGGTTTGTGTAGAAAAAGTCACATTCTATAAAATAGGAGCAATAACAATTTAAACTTTTCTAGAATTTTACCATTTACAAAATACTTTCACCTATATTTATTAATTATCAGAACAGTTCTCAGACATAGGTAGTGTATTTCACAGAGGACAAAACTGGGGCTGAGATTTTAAGTTAAGATTTACTCATGGTCATACACTTAAAGACAAAGCAGGACTTGAAAATGACCCTTGGTTGGAGACTTCTGAGAAGTCCAGAGCTCTTTCTGAAACAACCACTTGCTCCTCAATAATGACAAATGCCAACTATTTCTTAAAAAGAGCATTTTTGGGGAACTATGACACCTAAGAGATATTCTTATCTGTATCACAGATTTGATAAAGATTATAGTAATAAAGAAATGAACAAAGAAAAAAAGACTATACTACACACACACACACACACACACACAAACACACAAACACACACATCAAAGTTCAACGTCATCAGCTTGATATTCCCATCTTTAAATCTCATTTCCCTCTGCTTCCCCAACATAAATCCACTTGTATCCCCTGTGGCCACCACCAACACCAACACCACCCCTACTGTAAAGCAAATGCCTTATTCTATGGCTATCTAGATCCTACTTCCCTTTTGCAGTTTAGCTCAAATCTTACCTCTCCTCCTTTGTGAAAACCTTCATTGACTATCTCATCTCAAGGAATTTTTCTTCTTTCTGGATCACTTTTTGTCAATGATGGTTATTTGGCAGTTATAATTCACTGCTTGGCACCACGTTTATATGCTTTATTTCCCCAACTACAGTGTAAGTTCTTGACAGAGTCCTATAGACCTCACATTTTTAAAAACTTCCTCTTTGTGCTTTACAGGTACTCATCTATAGCTCAATAAATGTGTTGAAATAATTGGTTGATTGATTGATGTTGGGTTTATCATTTAACTTCTCCGGGTCTTAGGTTCCTATTTTTTGCAAAAGAATACCAATATCTGTCCTTAGTTATTAGTCTGAAAAATACTTTGAGCAACTAGGACTATCTATTTTAAATGTGATTATTCATTTGTTCATATTTGCCAAGTATTTGCCAAGCACTCAGACATCCTTGGGAAAAGAGCTACCATTTATATGGTGCTTCTAAGTTTTGCAAAGAATTCTCTCTCTCTCTCTCTTTCTTTCTCTCTCTCTCTCTGTCTCTCTGTCTTCCTCTATGTCTGTCTGTCTGTCTGTCTGTCTGTCTGTCTCTCTCTCTCTCCCTCTCTCTCTCCCTCTATATATATTAATAAAATTTCATTTGACCTTCATAACAACCCTATGAGATTGGCACTATTATGGTCACCATTTTACAGATGAGGAAACCGAGGTTGAGAAGAGGAAGTGACACAGTGTCCGAGGCAGTTCGAATTCAAGTCTATCCTGCCTCTAGGTACAGTGCCCTACCCACTCCTCTACCTCGTTCCTCACCCTCCAAAGACCCTAGATCTCTTACTATTCACTGTAGAATAGGATTATGTATAAAGTGGCTGAGCCCCATCAAAGAGGGCTTGGTAACTGAAGTGATTCAAGGACTTTGTTGCAAAGCATATTTTTACGTTTGAGCCCCTCCCATAGCATGAATTCCCAGAATGGCGTTATGGTGGAACTGCCTCCTCTAACGTCTGTTCTTCCACAAGGTTGATGTAAGTTGGGGTAGTGATCGTGTTGAGGTCAATCCATGTGACTGACCCCTTGTGTCTGAGTAAATGCTCCTCCCAAGAAGCATGCCTCTTTTTTTTTTTTTTTGGTTTCCTTATTGAGATGCCTGAGGGACGCAGCATGCCGTCTCTGTGCTCCTGCAGGCCCACCCAGCTTCCTTCTGGCACTGAAAGCAGCCGATGCTCTGCCACCTTTCTTTTCAGATAAGCATGACTTGGAAAAGCTATCTTTAGAGGTGATGAGTTTTTGTTTGGATGGAATTATGACTTGTATAAAGCCCACGCATGCTAACAAGCCACAGAGTGCAAAATAATTATTGAAAGTAATTTGAGAGAAAAGTGGAAAATCATCTAAGGGGGAAAAAACATCCTTGTTCTCAAAGCTTTGGTCTTGGCTCTCCACCATCAGGTTGACTGACCATTGTTAGCTATGACCTCATCTCTGCACAATTTAGATTTATTTTTCTCACTGAAGTACTTGATATTTTATTCAGAGTTAGAAAGAATACACCATATATAATGCTTATCATTCACTGGAGAACCATGGAAAGAAGTGTTGCATTATAGAGAGAGCTATTTCATTTGGGAAGTGTTCCTTCAGCATTCAAGTCTTTAACTCATTTTCTAGGGAAGAATGACTTTTGAAATCACTTTATGATTTTCTTGTTGTCATACATTCCACTTTTATTTTACTCATCATGTGGCAGGTGTTAACTTTCCACTTTGGCAGGATGCATTTGCTATTCTCCTATATTCCCCATGATGGAATTATAGGTCAGAGCAATGTATATGCTATAGCCTATTTTATTATTATTATTTTTTTGCAAACCAGCTATCTCCCAAGGCCAATAAACTATAGCTAAATGCACAACACTCCTGAAGGTTGTTCGGATCTAAATGTAACATAATGTACCCTGAGACAGGTCTGTTAGTGAGGCAAATGCAAATTATCTGGGTTTTTATGTGGTAAGCATAAAAAACATATTAATGAAATCCATCATAAAGTAGTTTTAAGACAGTCAAGCTTTGACATTTTCATCTTGGTAACAGATAGAATTGAAAGAGTTTGCCCCATGGTCAAGAATTTAAAACTGATGATTTGATGACCAACTCAACAATCTTAATGATTTTAAATGGTCCTTAATATTTCTTCAAACTTGGAGAGTTTCGTTGGCCCCTTTCCAGACTGGCACATGGACTCTGAGTCATAACCTAGAAATGTCTAAACCTTCTCTTTGGTACGGTGATAACAGTTTGTTTATACTCAATACCATAAATAACACAGTATTCCACTTACTATATTTTATAGTAGCCATTAAGGATAACTTTATCTGGGCAGTATGGATTCAAAGCTCTGCAAGGCACTTGATCATTTATGTAACAGCGAAAGAAAATGCCTTCACCTTAGGAGCCTCATTGCATTCTTATTCTTGATTATGACCTCTCCAAATGATCTTTTCTCCTTTTTTTGGAAGGAGAAAAAAATATAAATTGCAAAAGAAAACTTCAACCATGTGATTTAATGCTGGATGACCCTTGAGAAGGCCCCTGGACCATTCCTCTAGTCTTTAGGCAAGCCTGCATTTCAATCACCTCAAAAAGAAAACTGCTTCCCCTTACTTGAAAAATATATGGAGGAGTACATCCCACAAACTCCCTGGATAATATTCTGGAACATAGTCCAAAATCTTGAAGTCCTCATTACATAACGGCAAATTTAGTTCACAGTTAAAAAAAAATTCATATAAAAACTCTTTTTGAAAATGAATCAGATTTTCCATTGAGTGACATGAAAAAGATTGTTGTTAACACTCAAATTATATCATTTGAGGTAACACACCCTTAATTACTTGTGTTCTTGGTAACTGATGTTTTATTAAAAGAACTCATGCTAACATTAATAAATACAAAAAAGGAGAGGTTCTTAGGGTTAACAAGCTAATGAAACATTAATTCATACCTGTTCTTTAAAGTAAAATGGAGAACTATCAGGTGTAATGTACTGACTTTGAATGTTGTCTTCCCAGGAAGAACAAAGTATGTTAGCCATGGAAGATGAGGGCACAGTGCAGCTCCCACTGGAAGGGCATTATAGGTAAGGTACTTTCTTTAATATAAGTGTTTAATCTGTGACCTTTAAAAAGCATCATTTCTGGCAACAGGAAAAGGCACTGAAGCACAATGAATTCTATTTTTGAATTTGATAAGTGGATAAATTTCTATTGTTGCCGAAGTCCAGAGGTAGCATGGGAGTCAGGAGACCAAACTTGAGTTTTAGGCCTAGCTTTGCCACATTCAGCTGTGTAACCTTGGGTTCTGTCCCTCAACAATGTGATCTCACACACTCAGTTGTATGAATTTGGGTCAGTCTCCTCCCACTCTGGTTGTCTGCTTCCTTAGAAGTAAACATATGAACAATTGGACTAATTAATCCCTAAAATCTTACCGTCTCCTAAATTCTTTTGTTTATATTCTCTTTGAAAGTACCCTTGGTCTAATCCACTTAGAAAATAAGACCAGACTTAAGTCAAGCTTCAGTTCTCAGCCAACAATTAGACTGCAAGTGTATATTAAGCACTTGCTGTATTCCAGGCCCACTGCTAAAAGGGATACAAAGGAAGACAGAAACAGTGCCTACCCTCAGGGAACATGCATTCTAATGAGGAAGAGAATATATAAATTACTAGTAACATAAACATAGAGAGAAAGTAGCTGGAGGATAATCTAAAAAGGGAAGACATTAGCAGGTAGGCAATTGGGAAAGGCCTTCTGCAAAAGATGGGATTTGAACTGTCTTGAAGGAAGCCAGGGAAAGTAAGATGGGATGATGGGGGGTGATGAAAGACAGTGAGCGCTAAAACTTGGAGACAAGAGATGGAAGATTCTATGGCAAATTTAATGGTTACTCCCTAAGTTAATCAACTGGTGAACATTATATATTAACCCTTAAACTCTTATTACACGTAGCAATTCGTCTATGAGAACTCTCAGTGGAATTTCAGTTCAGTTCCTGATTTGAAAGACTTAACCATCCCAATGAGATCAGTAATTTCTTAAAAAAAAAATCTACAAACCACAATTTTTCTCTTTTTGCACAAAGTTGATTCAAAGGGAATTTCTATTGGGCCTTTATTGTAGCTAACATAATATGTGAGCCATGTAAAATTTTAAAAGTGTGTGTTGGGGACAGCTAGGTGGCGCAGTGGATAGAGCACTGGAGTTAGGGCCCTGGAGATAGGGCCCTGGAGTTAAGAGGACCTGAGTTCAAGTCTGACATAACACTCACTAACTGTGTGACCCTGGGCATGTCACTTAACCCCATTCCCTAGCCAAAAAAAAAAAAAATTGTGTGTTAATGTACATCATATCATTCTTCCAAAGGTAGCACTCTTCAGAGCTACAAATAGCTATTTATTTACATATTTCAACCCTAAAATTTATAAAAAATTTCCAAATATTTTTTCAGAAAACTATATTTCTCTCTGCTACAACTTTTATCTTAATTTTTTTAATTTATGACTTTGTGACCATATTTAAAACTAAATTTATACTATCAAAATAATTCTGGATAATTTGGAATCATGTTAATAAAAATGGTTTGTCCCCCATGGAGGCACTTTATATGTGTTGCAATATTAAAGAATAAGATAGAACAGAAACATTTTGCTTTACAGGGTCTAACATTAAAACTAGATTCTAAGATCTTTTATGATTATTTACCCCTTAAAACTGAGCATAGGTAGCAAAGGTATTTCTTTCCCTCTTAGGGACTTTGTGAGAATTAATGTGAAATAGTGTATATAGAGATAAACTCAAAAACAGGAAGACCTAATTTCTAGTCCTAACTCTGACACATATTTGCTGTGTGACCCACAGAAGACCCATAGAATTATAGACTGATAGAGTCAAAAGGTGGGGTCCTTAGAGCTTATCAAGTATAACAATTTCTCCATTCTACAGACTATAAAACTGAGGTCTAGAGAAGCTAAAAATCTAAACTTTTTGAGAACAAGGATTGTTTCATTTTTTTTTGTCCTTGTATCCTCAGCACTTAGCACAGTACCTGGCATTTAATGCTTATTAATTGAATGCCCACAATCACACAGAGTTAGAACATGTAGGGTTTCTTCAAAAGACCATTGAGGAAGAGGGAACTAGAGAAACTGACTCTCAACCTGAAGATATTCATTAAGCATTCATTAAGTGCCTACTGTGTGCTAGACAGTGTTAGATGCTGAGAATACCAAGACAAAAAAATGAAACAGTCCTTTCTCTCAAGGGAATTACGTTCTATTCGAAGCATGATGAAAGCAAAAACTACTCTTCTCAACATGAGGTCCAGTTGTGACTTCTGCATTTTCCAGCATTTTGCTACAACAAGTCATCCTATCCTGTCTGCTTGGCTTCTGTAATCTCCCTTCTTATGGTTCCCTATCGGCAGCCTTCTGGCTCCTTGCCATTGCCGTTTAGTTGTGTTCATTCTTGAAGCCATCTTTGGGACCATCCCAAATTTGATTCTGAGGTGCTTCCTTCCCAGAGTGTAGAGAGTTGGAGACAATAAATGTCATGACAGTAAAGGTCTGCAAGTCATAGGAAGAATTCTTGGGCGCATGAACCACAGAACAGAACTAGAATTTGGATAAGGAAATCACTGCCTCGACTCAATGGCTTACATGCCTGGGATATTGGGAATTGGCTTTGGATTTTCATTTTTCACGGTTATTTGGTTTGAAAGAATCACATAGAAGACTGCAAAGGTCTCTGCCATAGACAATTCTGTCGAGAGGTATACTTTCCTTGCATTTTATATCATTACTGGACCACTGGTGCTGGCAGCCTAAGTAGTTAATTTTTTTTTTTTACTTTTGTATGAACTCCCATCTAGAGATGATCCATCTGTGATTAACATTTCTGATGAAATGACAAAAACGGCATTGTGGAGGAACCTTCTGATCACCTCAGAAAACTCAAAAGATAAGGAGTCAAGCTTTCCTTCTAAAAGGTTTGAATTTTTTTAGTAATAACGGCATGATGTATTAATCCCAGGCATTTTAGAACCTCAAATTGTTAGCTAAAGAAAAAAATCTATTTACCATCAAATTGAAAACTTAAGTTTGTACAGAGAAATCTTTAAAATTGAGGCATAAATTATATTTAGAAACAAAATTAAGATGCTTCCAAAAATTTCATTCTCAGACCAAAACACCATTTGAAACATTTCCTAAGCTGTCATTTATTCATCTGAGCCTCCTATAAAGTTGTTTTTCCTGACCTGCTTCAGGCAAGAAGCACTGTAGATATCTGATGATGTTTTGTAGTTCCTAATCACCATCACTCTTTCCCTCCTTCCCATGTTCCACATGTAACAGTTGTATTGGCTTCCTAATTTTATCTACTCCACCCCACCTGCTCATCTGGGGGTCTTCACATACTGCCCACTAGAAAACTTTCAATTCTTGGAAATCCTAATCTCTCCCTCTCTGTGTGTGTGCATGGGCACATGTTTGTCACTTGTGGGCAATTTCATGTGCACGTAGAAAGCAGATTTTTGCCCTTGAATTCCAACATATATCTGATTTTTCTGATGAATTTCTCTGACTTCATAACTCAGAAATTAAATCACCCCTGAAACATAAATGGCAGACTGGGGTCATAGCAGTATTTCTTTCTGCTTGAGAGTGATCAAGGGATTTGGGGAAACTAGCTGCAATGTTTTCTATAACTGATATTTTCTTTTATTTCCATAAGTTTTCAATTAACTTTTTCTACCTGATTGTTTCATATTACATTTCTGTCATAAGCTCCCCTTCCTAAATCACTCTAGAAGCTGATTCCCCAAAGGTAAGACCCTCTCCCTCAAACCTATTCCTTGATTGCATCCCCTTATGTTAAATGGTGTCTTCTAAAAACCCAATCAGCCTCTGTATTCTGTGTAAGTTTTGGGGAGGCAAAAGGCATGGAGTGCCCTAGCTTCAGGCCCACATCTTGAACTGAAACACCCTGGGGCAGTTGGCCAAATGCTTCAAGGGGGTTTGGAAGCCCACCTATTCACGAGAGTGTAGACAAAACCCTCATACATCAATTAAAAAATGTTCTTGCCATGCTATACTAAGCAATTCAAGCCTGGCATTAGTCTTTTTTACCTTAGAAAGAAAAAAAAGGAACACCTTGATTTTTTAAATTGCATAAACTGGGCATCTTCCCTGTATGTACTACCCAATGCATCCAAACAAACACCAGGAGTCTTGCTTTGTGGAAATGGTCGAGAACATGGGCACAAGAGAGGGTCTGCTTGACAGAAGGAATAGAAAAATAGTAAAACCTGCACCTCTTGTTGCTAATTTTTGTCACCCCAAAATGGCATGCTGCTGCTTCAATGTTGTCTCTCTTCCTCAACTGCATAAACAAGACACATAGGGAATCCAGAGAGGCTCAACTTCAGAAGCTCACAAACCAGCTCACTGACATGTCTCTCTTTTGTTTTGTTTTATTTTATTTTTTATTGCTAAAACACTAAGTGACTCATTAGTTCTCACCACAGACTTTTTATTGCTTGTTCTCTGTTTCTGGGGGCAAAAGCCTTTGTGAGCTTCTCTACTTGGTTCCATAGAAGTGACTTTTTATTCTAAGACCTATTTAATCTCAGTATTCAAAATAACTCTGTTATTTTGTATAGAATGATCCATAATGCTTCTGTGACCATCTAAGAGTTTTGGAGAAATATTGAAGGATTCTAGAAAGGGGAGCTGTCCACTTACATAGAAATCTGTTTTCTTGTATTGACTGATCCTAAAGTCCTAACAGAAAAAAAAAAGTCTTTGTAAAGACATTTCACTAGTGTTCAGTGTGAAGGCCAGGCTTGCAGGACAAAAATTAATGATTTTTTAAAAAGCATTTATTAAGCACTTACTGTGTGCCAAATGAAACGTAGAACAAGGAGGCTGTACAAGTAAGGGAGGACAATCTGGTTTGTAGAACGGCTTACTTCAGTCACTGTTGTGTGTCTTCCTGTATTAACTAGACCAGCAGCCTAGACTGTCCATCTGTTTTGCTTTGACTCAAGCCAACAGTTAATATGTTCTAATGCTAAGTGTTCTAATGTTAAGTGTTCCTTAAACTAAATACCAGACCCAAAAGTTTTCAAGTACTGCCCTTTACCAGAAAAGATTATTTCTTTAAATGCTTCTTTAAATTACCAGCACATTTACAGATTGACTTCAGAGAATAACTCGATGTAATTTTAACATTCCATTTAAAGGAATCATTTTGGAGTGTAGTCAATAATGTCTACTCTTAATGACCAGTGATGGGTTCTCACTGATGTAGTTTCAAAATATTTCTAGAGTAATAGCTTACACTTAAAAAAATATTTTTTAATGTATAAAGTGCTTTCACATAACATGTCCTCACTTGATTATCACAGTAACACTGTGAAGTAGGGCGAAGTAAGTGTTATTATCTCCATTTTACAGATGAGAAAACTAAAGACCAGAGACATTAAGTGGCTTATTTAAAGTCAGATGAATAGTGAATGGAAGATCGGTGTTTAGGATCCAAGACTTGTGACCCCTAATATAGCCCCTTCCCACTTTACTACACTGCCTATACTGCACTGAAGAGAAGGTTCATCTAGCTTCTCTGCATTCCAAAGGGTATACCTCCCAAGCGAAGACTTCTTATGTGTCCTTTAATGCTATTCAGATGTAGAGCTATGGAATCCCAATGGAAATAGGGATTATCAAGAAATTCTGAGAACAGTAGCAACATTATTACACTCAGTGCCAAATGAGGGAATCAACGTATAACCAGCAGGTATGCCACAAGCATCATTCATTCATTTACTCATGCATTCACCTGTTAATACAACATACATTTATTGAGTACCTACTATGGGCAAAGGGGCTGTGTAATGTTTATACCCTGGCATAACCTGGCATGCCTCTTGGTCTAAAAAGACCTCAAGGTACGGTTGGTAGCTGAGGACTTGGATCTTAATTACCTTGAGAATATTAACACATTAGGTTCTGGAGTTGCACCCTGGATCTCAGCTGATGGCAACAGAGCTGGCTTCTTTTTATTCCACCCTTTGCTGGTAGCTATTTGCCCTAGAAGACCTTAGAGTGTGAGGTTTCGTGCCCATTCAGGATATTTTGGAGTGCCTTTTGTAAGTGAAGTTAACTATAACAGTTGTATTTGGCAATTGCTTCACGTACTTTCATCTATCAAATACTTCAGAGAAGACTCAAGGGAGATTGTAAGAAACACCTTTAAATAACAGCACATCTGATCAAAGGGTTCATTTTATATTATGCAGAAAATACAAGTGATATACAAGTATTGGCTGGTTCTAGCCCAACATACTGGATGGGTCATTTGAAATAAGTACCATTTAAATAGCACTATTTCAGTTAGGGACAGTTTGAAATGGATTATCCAGTTCAGTAATTGCCGAGTCCTGTAGCTTTCAAAATCCACAAAATTCCCCAACAGGTAAAGCACTAATTAAATTCAGTGAAACATGAAAATAACATGAGATGACATAGCCTGGGGTGTTTCCTAAATGAAAGAAAGATTATATATAACACTAGACTAGCTATTCTGGTTCTTGAAGTTGTCCTCATCACTCCTTCAACAAATACTCTACGCCAATGAGTCCTCTTTGTTTCTCTGTTCTAACTGTATTTCAGCCAACATGAATTTGTAAAAAATATAAATAAATGATCCAAGGCAGTTAAGAGGACTAACTGTAAAACCCATACCTATGATCTAAAATCTTCACTGCCATGATGAATTAAAAATCCTTAGGTGGGACTGAGTCTGGGCTGTAGTTTTGAGAGTGAACTTTCATCCAACTTGAAGTCCATTGCTTCACAGAGACTGCTATCCATGTAATTAGAAGGAGCTATATCAGAACTCTCTGCTATTGCTGCTGAGCAAATGTATGTAGGAATCACATATCAGTGGCATTAGAGAGGAGCAGCTAAATGCAATGGGCCTGAAGTCAGGAAGACCTGAGTTCAAATCTAGCCTGAGGCACTTATTAGCTGTGTGAGCCTGGGCAAGTAACTTAATCTCTGCTTGCCTTAATCCACTGGAGAAGTAAACTACTCCAGTATCTTTGCCAAGAAAGCCCCATGTATGGTATGGTTCACAGGTTTACAGAGTCAGACACAACAAAATGACTAAACAAGAGCTAGAGAGGTGATTGTTTTTTTTTATGAGATTCAATTACTTGAATGCCTGGAGCACTTTTTATTTTTCTCTGAAACATTTACTCCTTCAATTGTATCCTGATACTCCACTCAGTCAGTGTCCTATCATCTTTAATTATCATAAGGAAAAATACTTACCTTTCCAGGCAGTGAGGATGAACTGGTAGAGAATACCTCTCCTGCATTACCAACTGCCTTTTGGAAATCTTGCACTGTGTCCTTTAGACATTTCAAACTCAATATGTCAAAAGAAAAACTCATTGTCTTTTCCCTGAAGTCCTCCACTTTTCACAATGTTCCTGCTATCATCAAGAGCACGATGATCCTTCCATTCACCCAGGGTCGCAATCTTGGGAAGATCCTCAACTCAATCACTCTTGCCTCACCTATCCAGTCTGCTGCCAAAACTTGTGACTGGAGTTCAGGAGAGACAATGTCTGAATATATAGATCTGAGAATCATATCATAGGAATTAATGCAATCACCAATTGAGATGGAGAGAGAGACAGAGAGACAGAGACAGATGGACAGAGAGAAAAGAGAGTAGAGAAGCCCCTGGATAGAGCCTTGGGGAATGTTCATGATTAGTGGGCACAACATAAACGAAGATCTAATAAAGGACCCTAAAAAAGGAACAGATATGCAGGTAGGACGAAAACCATGAAAAAGAAATGTGAGAAAAACCTACAGAAATGATATTCAGGAGAAGGTGATCATCAGTAGCAAATGCTTCAGAAAAAGGATAAGGACTGGGAAAAAGTCACTAGAGTTGGCAATCAAGAGATCAGTGGTAACTTTGGAATAGGCTGTGTTTCTGTTGAATGATGAAGACAGAAGTCAGACTGCAGAGGCTTTACAAGAGAGTGAGAAGAATGAACTAGAGACACCTAGTGTCTCTGGCTTTCTAAAGGAACTTAGCTGAGGAGGGAAGGAATGATAAGGGTTGTTAGTTATTGAGAAGTGATTGCAGGAAAATGAGCTTATTTTAAAAATGAGAGGAAAATGGGAGTTGTTAATGGGCAGCAGGAAGTGAGATTGAAGGAAGATAAAAAAGGTGTAGATGATAGTGGGCGGGGGTAGAGGGGAGGACCTGCTGGAGAAGACAGGAGTGTGGTAGGTACCATATTGGATACAAATCTATGTAACACACAGGCCTTGGCATTTCCCAGAGACATCCTCTGGAACAACGTTAATGGCTGCTAGATCTCTGCCTTTTTAAAAGTGGGGTGCATCCCGAGTGCAGTGCACAGAGCAAGAATAACTCACTAAGAACCAGGTAGGACTCAAGGAGATGTTGTTACATTGGAAGACAGTCATTAAAACTTGTCACATGGAAAGAATGGAAGGAGAAGAAATTGAGATATGTAGAGGATTTAAAAATATAGAATTAAGGCTCTCAGCACATCATGTGCATACTGTCATCCCTTCTCATGAGAAAAGCAAATGAAAGAAAAGAAAGTCGTTTCGCTGTGACCTGTAAGTGGTATGTGCTGAGGCATGTGGCAGGCTCCAACCCAGGGTGCCACAGATGCTCACACTAGCTCTCAGAGATCTGGCAGCCTGCCATGAATGGCAGAAGCTCGGGCACTCCTTACCTGATGGTGCCTGGTGATGGTGACAACTGAGAAGGGCTGTTTCTAGCAAAGTGGAAGAATAAAATCATTCTAAAGCATTTTCAGAATGCATTTGACAATGTGAGCTAACGGCCATGAAGGAATCAGTAGCTTGAGGGCTAAAAATCAGGATTAGGGACGTGCAAAATCTCTTCAGAGTCACGCATGTTGGTCAGAAGTGAGACTCTGTTATAACAAGAACCTTATCCTAGGTGCTTGGGTGGTAACTGTAGCAGGAAAAACTATGTAAAGGCCCATAGTTAACTAAGGCTTCACTTCATAATCCAATTGAATCAGCATTTATTAAATGCCCACTGTGTACAAAGCACTTTCTAGACATTAGACATACCAAAAAAGAAGCAACCTAGCACTGAAGCTTACATTTTATGGAGGAGGAAGAAGATAAAGATGTAAACAGAAAAATACAGACACAATAATTTGAAAAGGTAACACTAATAACAAGGAAAGTCCTAAAAGAATTTTCAGTGAGCCATGTCTTGGAGGAAGCTAGAAATTCTAAAAAGCCAAGGGGAGGGAGAGTATACTTCAGGCAGGTGCAAAAACACAGAGCAGTGAGACATAAGCCATGACCCCTAAATGATTCCAATTCAGACATCGACATAATGTGTATGTCCATTTTTTTTAAATTAACATTTACCAGCCAACCAGCTAATGTGATAGTGGGAAAATTTTTGAGTCTTGGGGGAAAAAAGAAAAGGAGATAAAGTGTTTCATAGTAGGTATAGATTATTAACAAATTGATTTGGAGAATAAAATAAAATAAAAACCCTTTTCAGACTATGCAAATTCAGAATATAAGTGAATGGAGTGGTCATTCTTCTGGCTGTGAGGCTTGGTCTTCCCAAGTGGACATCAGACTGCTAGAGGACAGTTTTTTAATGGGGTGTAATCATTCTCCACAATGAAGGAGATGTGCCCTAAGGGACCAAGACATGTTCCTCCCACAAAGCACCATTCAATGAAGAAGGTGGAAGCAAACCGAGGGTCAGCAGAACTAAGAAATAACAACTGTGACTTCCTGTTTGTTCCATTTAACAAAGTGTCAGTGTTGTCTTAAGATGGTATCCTGACGGGTGTTTTCAACAATCATTAACAATTTCATTTGCCAAAATGACAAGTGTGTGAATCTTGCATGCTTTCAGATCTGTCTGAAAACTTTCAATTTTATTCATTCTTCCCTCTCTGAAATTCTGGCCCATGGCTTGTATCCTACCCAGTTCAGAGTTGTATAATTGTTGCTGGTCAGTCTGTGCTATGTAGCATGAAAAATTAATGCATCTTGGTGGGGGGGAGGGGAGTCTGGTTTTGGGGGGATTTTTTCTTTTTTTGAAGGAGGGCATCTTTTCAGGAGAAGGGAAGGGGATCAGGCAGTTTTTACAGAAGGTATGGTGGCATTGACAGTAACAGACTTTTCCTTTCCCCCCTTCCAGCACTGAAGGCAGAAAAGAGAAGAAAGCTGACTCAGGGAAAGGTGTTGACAGGGAGACTTGTCTATGACTTGTTCTTCAATTTATTTTTACAAACACACAAGAAGAGTGCCACAATTATTAATAAAACTGCTTTGATCATGTATTGTAAATTCTGTCTCTCATCCCAAACTCACGCCCACACTGTAAGTAGTGCAATACTCATTTTGTTCCTCTGTCTAAAACTTTTGTGTGGTGAGACAACCTTGTGAACATCCCTGGTAGCCAGTGCAAGAACCTATATGTTCCTTGCTGGATTAACCATTGATAAATACTAAAATTCGTATCATCAATCTCCTAAGAGAAGTTGCTTTCTGAGAGGACTCGTGAATTGACTTGTATTTTACTACTTGTGTAGGCCTTGTGATGCCTATAAATTTCATTCAAAGGAAATTTGAAAGGTCACCCTACTTCTTTCTGATTTTTATAGCTTAGCATTAATGACTTATTTCAAAAGATCCAAATCAAAAAGTTAATCAGAAAGCTCTTTTTTTAAGGTAATTCTATTTGTGCTGTCTTCCTTGATTCAATAAAAGGCATTTAATATTTTAAAATTTGTATTACCTGAAGCATAAAGTCATTTGGGGGAATCAAAATAAAGAAATCTTTTCATATCTTGTTTCAAAACAATTACAGACATTGAAGGGAAACCTTCAGACAGCATTTATTCAGAATGTGCATTGTGATTACAATGTCCAGTATGGATCATAGGAAATACTAAAATCAATGAACTGAAGCTTTTATAAACAGTTTGGGGATGTTTTCAATATAAACCTTTGTCTGAACTATGTGGTTAAGTTTCTTTATCTCTGATACCAAGTTTTTCCAAATCAGCATTTATTTATTTATACACATGCAGCATACCCCATGATGAATCATTACATAAGAAATACCCATGTGTACAATAACTCTACCACTGAGGATCCTGCCCCGTTCCATGCCAGGTTGGAACCTTGTTCTAATGTGAGGTTGACAGGTGTCCAGTTGTGATTTTTTTCCTGCAACGCTTTTATACTGTTCTATTAAAAATGCATGCTGTCAAGAAATAAACCTCAAACTGAACATTTCAGCTACTGACCAGGGGAATTTCCAATTGATATTTCAGTCTGTACCAAGTAATCCCATCTTTACCAAGCTTGTAGAAGAGGGGAAGGCTATTTCCAATTTTGGAGTACTATTTGGAAGAATAATTTTTTAATTCATTTTTAATGAAGCTCAATAATGACTGATTCTAATAGCTATTTTAATGTTTTGGGATTCCAGGAATGCCCATAGGCCACTGAGCTTATACTCTTTTTTAACGTTCACTTTTGCAAGGTTTCAGAGTTCTTCCAATTCGTTAATTACTTTTACTCAAAGCAATTTTGTTTTCCGTGCTCAATGGCAAGAGGAAAAATTCCCTGAGCAGTGTTTTGTAGCATTCTCTTGGCTATTGTAGTAGTCTCGACCTCATCATTTCCAGAAATTTCTCACAGCCCTCTAAAGTGGTTATTTAAATGGAAACAAGCCTAAACGATGCAAAGAAGGATTTGCATTTAATAACAATAAAAAAGATTGTATTTATAAATGCAGTGACAGTACAGAAACTTCCTGTTCTAAATGCATTGTTTTCATGTATTCAATAATACAGATGCTACTTTGTAACATTCTAATTGGTTTATGATTTAGACTAGAAATACATGCCAGTCAGCCCCCAAAGCACCCTTCTTGTGTTTTGATATGTTAATAACGCTTCTATTAAAAAAAGGGATCATAGTGAAGTGAAAGTTTCACATGATCATCTATTACACTATTAAGCAATCACTGTAACCAATGGCATTCTCTGTTTCTGAGCATTTTTTAATAGTCACGCTGTTCTTGTGTGAATTTTAATGCTATCCTTATGTTAATCCCAACATTTTGAAATCACACAAAATATAATGCAAATGTAGTGTTATATATTTACTTCTAATTTCATATTCCTGGTCAAAATTGCTGAATTTCTTGGATGTAATTTATTACAAAGTTTAAGTGAAGTGTACATGTGAATAGGATATTGTGTTTTTCACAACTAAGAAATGTTACGTGGAAATAAATATTTATCCTAACTAATTTCCTTTCACATTTCTATTTTATGTTGAGTGCTTGTCATTTTGTGAGACTTTTTTTTTTTCCTCCCAATATTTATCAAGCCATCACCACTGCTTGGATTTCTTACATTTTCAACTTAAAAGTTAGGAAAAGTTGGATAGAGGATGGTATGGACTTTGGGATGGTCGGTAGGACCATTTCATTGGCTACAGTCTGCCTGGAGAGCAAATGGTCAGAGCCTTTCAAAGATGGTTCATCCACTTTCACTGAAATAACTGAACTAGTGGCTTTCCTTTCCTAGGAGAAAAGTTATTCTAGAAGCAATTAACTTGACCTGATTACCACTTTAAACCACTGACATCATTAGCTGAATTGGAAACAATTGGGTCTGATTCTGTACATTAGGCACCGGGCAAAAAAAAAAAAGTCCCCAGGTTGTATTTTTGTTTCCTTTTGTCAGACCTGTTATTTCGCTATTGGGAACTGTCAATGAGAAAAATCCTAATGCAGCTCAGAAACTGCTCAGTAATACATAGACTTCTAAAAGTTCCTCTGGGTCATTGAGAGGTTAAATGATCTATCCGGAGACACTGAGCCAGTATAGCAGAAGGAGGTATTCATGGGCCCACTTTGTATCCACTAAGCCATGCTGCCTTACTAAAATATTAACTTTTTAAAAATCTGGCTATCTTTGAACTGTTGCACCATTAGTTGAAAGTACAATCTGTATTCTGTGAGTATTCTCTTTGAGCATTGCTGCTAGTTTAAATTTTGTCTTACAGAATCTTCAATAAAATTACAGATTAAACTATCCCACCTTGACAGGTCCATTCACTGTCCTTGAATATCTCTAGAAAAAGAACACCTGGCTTCTTTAAACTATTAGGAAGTTCTTAAATCTGGCTTTAACCATATCTTAAACCCTCATCTTCCTAGGGTTTTAAACAGAACCTTGCACTGAGGCTTCATGTTCAGCTTAGGATCTAATGTGACCCTTAGATCTTTCTCAGTTTCATTTGTACACTGCTGTTACAACTTGGTTTTCCTTCTTAACTGCAGTGGACATCTTCCATTCAAATTTATCCTTTTTTTCCATTAGCTATTTTCACTGTAGTACTCACTGGTATTTATTTCTTCCTTTATGTCTATCTCAGGCTTCTCCATTGTTATGAGATTCTAAGATGTAGAACTAAAGATTGTCTAGTCCAACTGCCCCTTTTTCAAGATGAGTAAACTGAAGACATAGAGAAATTAAATGATTTGTCCAAGAACCCACAGGGAGTAAGAACTCCAGGGTTCTAATCAAGGTTCTTGGATTCCAAATTCAGGCAGAACTAAAAGCACCTGCTTTATGAACAATGCTAATGTAAACACAGTTGGAAAAAAATGTGATAACATTAAATAATATAGGGATCACTTAATGGTCTAAGATGACGGTCAATCTATTCGTTTTCCCTTAAGATTATGGTCAGTGAATGCCCAGGCATTTACTAAGTTCCCGCTATGTGACAAGCCTTCAATTAAGTACAAATACAAAAGGGAAAAAAAAAATCTCTGCCTTCAGGAAGCTTACAATCTATATGAAAGGATACCATAAAATCACATGGAAATTGAATGGTTAATATTCAGGGATAATTGGCAACACCTTGACTTTATGTGCAGAAATCCCAAAACTACAAGTGACTAAACCCCATCTTGAGCCTTCCACTAGGGATTTGGAGTTTGTTTCAAGAGTCTCAGTGACCGGGGCATGACCTACAGCCCAATAAACAAAATCCTCTGAAGTTGTGATCAACTGGTAAGATGATACCAATTCAGACACATACACTTGTAGACCGCTTCAAGAAGGTCTGGAGGTGAGGAAGAATTAGCTATGTAATATTTTAAGGGTATTCCTGCATGTACGTCAAAATTTCTGTATTCATTTATATTTGCATCAGTGTTCTGAAAATGCATCCCTGCAGATCAGCTCTGAGCAAGTTGACCTTTAAAGATAGTTTAGTGAAGTATGAAATGGCCAGTAGTTACTCCTTTTGATTCCAATAACACGTGTGTGAGTACACACACACACACACACACACACACACCTACCCACCTTACCGCCATTCCTGGGAACTTAGCTATATATCTTTGTATTGCTGGCATGAGTCAAAACACCAAAACCTAAAATCATAGGTTTCTATCCACATGTTATAAGGTATAAAGGCAAGAACATAGCACTTGGGTTTAGAAAACTTGAGACTTGAGTCTTTGCTCCTCATTTATTAGCTATATGACCTTGGACAAATCATTAAGCCTCCCTATGCCTACACTGCCTCACTTGTACAATGAGAGTAATGATATTGACCCTATCTATGGAAAGAGAGGGGAAGGGAATAAGCATTTATATAGCATCTATTATGTGCCATGATCTGTACTAGGCACTTACTTACATTATTTCATTTGATCCTCACAACAGCCCTGTGAGGTAGGTGCTGTTATTATCTCCATTTTACAATTGGGGAAACTGAGGCAGTAAAAGGTTTAGTGACTTGCTTAGGGTCACACAGCCAGTTAATTGTCTGAGCCTCATCATCACCTTGCCCTTATCAATGACCCATGGTAGTCATGCAGTGCTCTGAATATAATATATATCATAGTAGATGAGTAGTATACTAGGATAATAAAATGTACCTGTAGTTTAAGCTTTTATGGTGGCTCTTTCCATCTTGAAGGCCTACTGTGTGAAGTATTACATAAACCCTTTTCACAGCTTTTACCTGCCTATCTGGCACTGGTAGCTGAAAATTTAGAGTAACTATCAAATAGCTGCCCTTGAGACACTTATAATCCAGCTGGAGAGACTTTTAAGGGTGCAAAACTTAAGAAGGCAACACGTAACATCCTCAAATACTAAATTGTGTGCTAAAGGACAACAAATGTCATCAAGAAAAGAAAAAAAAACAAAGTCCCTGTGGACTTAAAATAGTGGAACTTGACTACAATATTGATGAAAGGCAGGCAGGATAGGGGTATATGTAAAAGAGAAAAGGAAGTTCATTCCAAGTAGAATAAAACCAAATAAGATGAGTAAATATGGTCAAGGAGGGGCCATCACTGCAATGAGGAAAGTGACTTGACCACAGGAATTCATGCTGGAAGAGTAATGAGAGATGAGGATGGTGAGGTAGAGTAAGGACAGATGAGAGAGGGCCTTTAAGGTCAGGTTGACAAGTGCAGCCTTAATCCTATCAACTACAGGGAGCCATTGTAGGGCCACAATCAGAAAAATTTGGCTCAAAATTTTAGCTCAGTGTGAAGAGCATGTTTCTTATGGTTTATAATCAGAGTAGGGGAAGGAACTCAGTTTATATCTAATGCATGAAGAAATATGGATGTGAATGCTTCCTTAGTTGCTTTCTCTATTAAGGTACTATGGGTACAGTACAAAGAGCATGGGACTAGGAAGTCAGAAGACCTAGAGTTCAAATCCATATTTTCTTACCTACTCCCCATATGGTCTCAGTAAATCATTAAACCTACTTGGGCTGCAGTTTTCTGAACTCTAAAATGGGAGAGTTAGACGAGATGATCTTTAAGGTCCCTTCTCACTTGTAAATCTACTTCTAAGATCAAATGACCGAAGTTTGAGTTTCATTTCCTCACCTTAATAGCTGTGAACACTTGGGCAAGTCTCAGCCTCTATTTCCTTATATTTAAAATGGAGATCATAGGAATTACCTACCTCACCAGGTGGATCAATGAGAACGTAAGGCACTATTGAGTTAAGAGCTATATCAATGCCAGTCTCTCTTACCAGAGTTACTAGACAAGCAGAATTCTTTTCTAACTCTTAATTGACCTGGAATTCCAGTATCTGCAGTGCTGATTTCTCAGAGAATGAGAGTACATGCAACTATTTTGATGAGTTAGGGGCTTGTAAGAGGCAGTGACATCCACAGCATAAGCCAACAGATAGACAAAGCAGGAGACAGAAAAAAAAAACAACGGGCTAAAGCAAAAATTTATGCTTAGTATTCCCTGTTTATGAAGGAAGAGAGGGATGCGTGGGATGGACTTTTAGAACCCCATTCCCCAATCCCCAATAGGTACTAACTTAAGTAGCTGTTCAGTTTCCTGTTAGAGATAAATTCTGAGGTAACAAGCCTGTCCACATGCCATACCTTAAAGCACAGTAATTCCTCATCTATTCAGCCTTGTTAGGGAATGAGCATAATAGAAACAACTGTAGCTGACCCTTCACTCCACTTTACTAGACCATTACAATCAAGTTAGCACAACCAGGTAATTAATAGGGGGAAAAACCGAGAAGTTGAAATGTGTACCAACAATCATCCATCCAAATGGTCATCACACTGCTTCTAATGTTCCCAAATAAGTCTATCCCTTCCCAATACTGAGACCAGATCCCTGACACCTTCAATATATTCTTACACTTAGAATGTATTTCTGATTCACTCTGCATATTCTTTTAATTCCTTTGTCCTTTAAAGTTGATTAAATTCTCTAATCAGTCATCATTGGAAGGCCTCTTGTTTTTTGCTCCATTATTATTCACATATTCAGTCCTTAAATACTTAAAAAAAACAAAAAACACAACCATTTGTTGTAGTTGCCTTGTAGGCACAAAAGAAAGGTTTGTATCTTTTGGGGAATTGAGGGAAATGACAGTCGGGTTTATCATCCAGAACTAGAGTTTTGATCCTAAATGGTGGTACAGATGGTCAGTGCAGATGACAGAGAGATTGCTATTCAATTTGTGTTTCAGACTCTTATTGTACTTCAGAAGTAGGACTTAGTATTTATTCGGAGTGTCTTCCTGATAGGGAATTATACATAGATAGGCCCAGTTGCACTAGGTTAATCAGTTCAATCAAGAAACTTCAATTTTGAAAAAAAAAATCACCTTATAAATAGTTCTTAAGTATGAGAGATGTCATGAATATGGCCTTTAAGTAGAAAACTAGGAAGACCTGGTTTTAAGTCCTCTTTCTGCCATGGGGAGAAAATAACAATCAGTAAAACTCAGTGTCCCTAAGCAACTCCTTACGATGGTAACATAGTGAACTGCATTGGTAGAAGGAGTTTCCACACCAGGAATTCTCTATATTGGTAAAATCACAGAACTGGATTTTTTATTTTTAAGTGATGGTACAGCTATAATCCAACTAATGAACAGGAAATTTGGTATTAGCTGATATGTTAAAGAAACTCAACTTTATCGTATATTTTAAAGGAAAAGTTGTAGTTGTATGTCTGTGATCTTTTATCCAACCCTTTTTACAACTCATTATCCTCACTGACCCACTTCAAATGTTTTTGATAACTTCAGCTTCTGGGGTTTTTTCTGCTATTAATTACCTGTCTGTGCTAATTTTGATTGTAATGGTCTGAGTCCAATCCATACTAATAGACTGGAGTAAAGAACTGATAGCTTCTACATAATTCAAGCCATAAAATCACATTTGCCTAAATTATATGAGACTTGTTTTGAATATGGAACATTTATAAGGTTGCCTCCATTAGTCATTCTGTAAGCCAAGCCCAGCCTTAGCCACCCAAGTACTTAGGTCTACATGCACAATGGGTTCAACTGTTATGGTCTCATCAATCATAAATTCATTCCAGACCAGTTCTATGACTCTAGCCCAATTATATTGTCATAATTACCAAGCCTACACAGTGTGGTTCTGTAATATTTTAATATCGAAGGCCCATAACTATGTTGCAAAACCCTAACAGCTCCCTGGGAAACATTAGAAAGGGAGTATGACAATTTAATAACTCCTTTTAAAAAAAAGGTGATTTCTCTAAGAGAGCATATGTCAACGTACTATAGCAGAGAAGATGGGGTATGCAATCAAAAAGTACCACTGATACCACAAACTGCTTTATTACATTACAAATTTTGTGCTTTGTATTTTTTTTTAAAAAAAACAGTTCAAATCTTTCCATTAATGTTAACAAAGCAAAGCAGAGCCTTCCAGGGTAAAAGTGGCCACATGCCAATATGATTTAGATCTGATTAAGGACACACACTCATTACCTCTGAAATGCCAAAGACATACTTATTAAAAGATGAGGGAATGCATAACATTCTACTTATTTCATATTGCTCAAAGGGAATTTAAGATGGTTAAATTGCTCCTTAATTAAGAACATCAAGGAAACTGATGAAAAATTCAAATTGATGCAAGTACTTCCTTCAAGTTAGGATTTGCAACACAATTAGGTTTCATCTTTTAAATGGGCAAGTTGATGGGCTTCCATCTAAGTTCCAAGCTGTGTCTCATGTTTGAGAAAGGCCTTTCATTTATGAAACATTACTTGTAGGTTGGTTGTTTTTTTTTTTTTAACACATTAAAAAAGTGGTGGTGGAGAAGAACCTTTTCCACAGATCTACTTGTTTTCACAGCACCTGTAACCAGAGATATCACAGAGGAGTGTTCCTCATTACTGGCAATTATTCTGAACCTTCCGATTATTTAGAACCCATGCAATGATTGCGATTTAACTTGGGAAAAACCTCTGCAAATCTAATTTCTTTCCTGAGAAAAACTGTGCAACAAATACCAGGCCATTCTCTACAGTGCAGCTATAATTAGTGGTAAATGCAAGGTAGCATATATTGGGATTCAATCTTGTTTAGGTAAAGCTCCCCTTGCAGAATCCCTGTTTCTCCTACTTCACTGGACTCATTTTTCCATTCTTTTAATGAAGATTCACAATCTTTGCAGGAGGCCAGGTGGGGACAGGGGAACAGTCCAATGATCCTGTGGAAACGTAGCACATGAACAATTCATATTTCCTTTTTGTTTTAGCAGATGACATGTAAATGATCTGGATGCTAAACAAAATCCCACTGAATACATCCAAAATGCTGCAATGCAATATAGTATGTTGGCAAGAAAGAATTCCACTTAAATGTTGACTTCATGTTGTATGTATGGAATTCAGGAACAAAAATACCCTTACATTTCTTGATTTGAGTTTATTTTCCCCAAGATAGTTATACTGACACAGTGCAGTTTTGGGTAATGAGAAAAAAATAGCTATTTAATAAGCTAAAAAAGAAATACATAGTGAGACACTTGGGTGCTAGGAGAGATAAAAGCACTGTTTTAGGAAGTGGCTCATGTGAGTATATATATGTTGGTGTGCTGAGTTGCTCCCAATGCTATGATTTTCATCTGTGTACCACTAAAGAGAAAGGGGAGAAAAGGCATCATTAGTAGTCATTATACAAATGAGGTAGTTTTAGCTTATCAAAAAACAAAACAAAACATGGGGGTCTCAGTCCTTTTGATGTCTATCATTTACAACTCTGAGAATGATTGGAAAGGAATACCCAGTCTTCACACAGATCCCCCCCAAAAAGCCTTTTTCTAGGGAATGTCATTCCTGGTCTACAAAAATCCAATGCTCATAGCCCAGAAGTCCTGAGAGCCCTTCTTGTGAATTTCACTATGAGACTTTGAAGGATGTGTAAAGATGAAATAAAATAGACAAACTGATTTTCCCTTTTGAGTCAAAGTCAATTCTAAAGCATAGCTCTCCTGGGAAATGACTGGGCCCAGTTTGCCCCTCCAGTTTCATGAATTGCTATAAACATCATTCTTACTTTCTTGTCAGGTAAAAAATATCAGTGTTAAGAAAAAGTGTTAACGTTTTGATTTTTCTTTTTTTTTTTTCTCATATACACACCACCAAATGTCTAGGGGGAAAAGGGAAAAAAAATCCTGAGGTTTTACCTACAAAAGTCAACTAACTACTCAGATTTAGTATTTGGAATCTGGGGTTTTGACAGATTTTTTTTTCACTTTCCATTTGGGTGTTTGACATTGTGTAGACACAGCTTTACACCCAGAACAGAAATCCCTTACATTGAACTGCTAATAAGTAACATTACTTGGTTAAACCAAGGCACGATTTATTGTTGGGCATTCCTATTTATCTGGAGAAATTGATTCTTTTAAATAAAGACTTGGCTGGACCAGCACATCTTCGTTTTTAAAAAATTCTCTAGCAAAACCAACATACCCTGACTCCTACAGAGACCACCACCCAACGAATTGCTAGCTCTTCTTGAGGATTTCTGCCTGGTATCAAAATGACTGTTCCCCTCGTATAGAATGTGTAACATTGGAGCGGAGTGCCGACTAAAGCAAATATGTTAGTATGGGGTGGAAAAAGACAGGCTTTTCTGGCTAAAACATACAGGAGAGCTGCATTTTAAAATAAATATATAGAGTGACATAGAGATCTATGTATATCTTTTTTTAAAATCTGGAAAGCCCTAGTACAGCAAATGAGTTTGACTTAATACACAGAAACATCTTTCTGTATAGGCAACAAAGGCTCAAGCCGTTTCCGACTTTACAAAACAAGTCTAATTGCTTATTGCCTCTTGTTGTTCAACAAAAGATAACATGGCAATTTCACAAAACTGAAAAGTGGTGATTATTAATATCCTACTGCTGTGATAACTGCTAGTCATCTATACCGAACAGAAATGGATTTTCATATTTTGATCTCTGTTATTACTGCTAGTCTCACTTTAGAATGAAGCTGCCACACATTTACCAGATAAGCGATTAGATTTCAATGGGAAATTAGGGGAGATAGTGAGGAATCAGATAAACAGGAGCCCAGTGATTTGGCATTCTGAACATGGGAGTTGTGGCACATTTACAACCCCTCTTCCAGTTTTTTGTTTTTGCTTTGTTTATGGTTGTTTTCACCATTTACTTCAGGCATTTTCACTCTGTATATGGCTCAAGGACCTCCGCCCTCTATCTCAGTTTTCAACTTGATAAAAATGGCAACAGTACTATCTCTTTCCCATCCCCTGGGCTTCCCCCAGTTAGGGGCTAAGACAAAGGGCTTCTAAGATTCCTGGTACTTCTGGAAAAGTAGGGTCTGTGCGGCTTCCCCTCACCCAGTCTAGCGCTAGGAGCCTAAACCATACCATTGCCTGGAAATCCACGCCGGCCTCCACAAGGGCTTTGGAGATCTGAGCTGACTGCTGGAAATGAACATTATCTGGAGGGGGGAGATAAAGGAAACACCAAGTCACAAGTGCTCTTTCTTGTCCAGTTCTTTGAAACCGAAAGAGGAAAACAAGTCAAAGAATAAAAGGACTGTCTGAAGTTCTAGGACTCAACAATAACAGTTAGCAGAAGACAAGTGAGTTGTGGAAAGCAACACTGTTTTATTGAAGTAAATGTAACAGTCTTGCCCCCTCATGCATTTGTTTTGTCAGTAGTGAAATTGCAAACCTGTCTGTGATACTAAAAAGTCTAATTAACTGAAACTCACCATCTGCTGTTCCATGAATAAGGAGGTACTCAACTTGTTTAAAATTTTCAGCTCTGCTCATGACTGTTGAATTCTGGAATTGGGGAGAAAAAAAAAAGAATGTCATTATTCAAAAAAGGATCTGCCATAAACTGATTTTTCACTTCAGTTTACAAAATAAAATGTTTTCAGCTGGGGCCCCCTTTGATACAAAATATAGCAAGCCGCTATTCAAGCAAATGCTGTCTAGATGCAAGGCATAATGCACAGGATGCCCTCCTCTGCCTGGGAAACATGGGATCTGAAGTGGATGAAGCTGCTGCTTCTCCCCTGCACATTCTGGAAGTGGGCACCTGTCACCAAGAGGCGAGGCTGTAGGAAAAGCCACTTGAATCATCACTCCAGGTTCAGCCGGGTGCTGTGCGTTAGCACGGGGCATAGGAACATATTAGCAATGTATGTTCCATGGGCTTCTGCGGCTGTTCAGCCAAAAAGTGTATCACCATGGCAACTGGGCATCACATGGTACCATACATGCTACATTTCAAAGAGCCTGTACATAGCATTTTCTGCAACTAAACATACTCTGCAATATGCCATATGAACTTTGGTCCATATTGCTATACTCTGAATGAAAAGCAAATATTACATGTTTCGATAACAGATGTTAAAAACCTGGGGAAATACAATGGGTGGGAAGTAAAATAAGAGACACTGGGCAGAAAAGGCCAGATATGGCCTCGAGTCGAACAGTGGGATAGCACAGCCTGATTTCCTGGATAACGGGAAAAGAAGATTATGGCAGTTGTTTGTTGCCAAAGAAGCTTTATGAAAATAAAGAACAAGTTTATTGGAGGAGACTCGAGTTCACAGAATTCTTGTTTAAGCTGCAAACAAAGCTGAAGATCTAGAAGAGAAGAGAGGACAACATAGGTCAGAGGTCTTTGGAAAAGAATGATGTGGGTCCTTTGGTCCATATTCCACCTCTGCTATAAGGGAAGCCACTGACTTTCCGCAGGTGCTGCTGTGTATGGATTCAGAGGGTGAGGAGGCAAGAACCTTGCTTCCTAAAATCTTCATCAAGAGAATAACCATCATACTATGGAAGGCAAGTTTATGAGCCAAACTGGGGAATGAGTGACCACAGGAATTAGCAGCACTGGAAAATCTAAGCTGAATTAATTCCACAGCATCTTGCTAGATCAGGCGCATCTCTGATGAGCCATAGAACACAAGAAGGTCAGGCTTTGGAGTTACCACCAGTTTGAGCTCTTTGAAAAAAGGAGATTTAATCCAGCAATCTTGTAGAAAGATCACTGAATTCTCAGTCCAAAGATCTGGATTCTAACCCTGCCTCTGCCACTAACCAACTGCCTGACCTTTGACAAGTCACTGATCGTTTATTAACTTCTGCATCCTCATCAATAAAATGAGAGGATCAGATTACATCAGTGGTTCTTAACCTTTTTTATGTCATGGAACCCTTTAGCAGCCCAGTGAAACCTATGAACCCCTTCTAGGAATAACATTTTTAAATAATTAAAAGAAATGTTAAATTTGAGTCAAAAATTAAATCAAAATAGAGATATTTTTCCCCATCTAAATTTATCTGTCCCTGAAATTTATCCACAGAGTCTATGTATCCCAGGTTAAGAACCCCATCTCTAAGGTCCTTTCTAGCTTCAACATTCTGGGATTCCGTGTGGTCATTAAATTCAAGAGTTTTCAAAGTGGGGTCCTTTTCAGTGACCAAAAGCTGATCTTTTATTATATTAGTGATTTCATTTTTTAGATCTGACCTGTGATTTCACTGGTATAGGGAGCCCTTAGTGAGAACTTCCTCTACCCATTTAAACTCTGCAACTTACAGTCTTAGCAATTTCTCTAAGGAACTAAAAGGTTAAGTGATTGGCCCAAGATCTCAGACATTGTATAGAGTCATACACATAGCAATGATTATAACATACAAACCACATCTCACTATACAAATGTTTCTGATCTAAATTGTAATATATTTATTCATGATCTCCTTTTAAAAAATTCCCAGGACTCAAAAAAAAAAGCACTATTCTTCATTTTCATTTTTGTGAAGCTTTGATGGCAAGTGTGAGCAACTAGGGTAGTCAGCCAAATCATCTTCTTTCTGAAGTTTATTATCTAGCTTGTCCACTTTGGATACAAATATGGTTTGTGACCTCTCGTTACACATAATAGAAGACTTTTGGGCAGAGGTAGAGTGTGAAACAGAATTATCTATATGAATTCCTGGAGAATTTCAACAAACAGAAATAGTATATGGCAATGGAGTCATCTCTGGTGAATGATTGGAATGAACCTTGGAGAGTATCCAGTATCTGTGGACCTTAACTCTTTTTTTAAGGTCTTGAGGACCTCTCTGGCAGTCTGAAGAAACCTATGACCTCATGTGTGTGTTTACATGTATACACATACATACTCACATGTATATGTATGCATCCAACTAGGTGGTGCAGTGAACAGAGTAGATAGTTCAAATGGAGTCACAAAGAGTCAGACACAACTGCAACTGAACAACTATCTATTTATCTGTGTATGTGGGTATCATATATATTTTTTTTAAAAAATTATAACAGAAGCAAATGCTAAATTTCAGTTAGAGGTTAATGAAAATAAAGATGGATTTTTTTTTCGCATTGACGTTCAAAGATCCCCTGAGATCTATCCACAGACCACTTGGGAGTCCCTTGATTTAGCTCTTCTCTCATTTTGCAAATGAAAAACCTAAAAATGAAAAAAAAAAGTCGAGAGAGAATTGTGAAAAGGCTTGTCCCAAATTACATGGATAACAAGTGACAAGAGTCAGTAAGTAGCTCAGACTTTCTGATGGCAAATCCAAGTTTCCACGTACTTAATTTCTACTGTGTGCACAGCACTGTGCTAGGTCCTAAGACCATTGAACTCATTGCAGACCTCCTCAAAGAGGCTACCGGCAGTGTAGAACTTTGAATGTTTCTGCTATCTGTCTCCTGGATCAACTGTGTACCTTAAAGTAGTCCTTTCTTCTGCTCTTAACTTAGGAATCTGGTTCTTGAGAACTGGTCAATGGCAATAAATGAATACAAGTCTGGGAGGTCATTTCAAGTTATAGATGAGGCTGCAGCCCAGAGAAAAACTGGCATAGATAACCTCTAAGACCGAATTCTGGAAGCAATTGACCAGTGGTCCACTATTGCTGTCATGGAGCACCACCATCTTTATGTGCTCAGCAGATCTTGATTGAATTCTTTTCCCATCAATTCAGCAATAAATTCTGTGCATGAAATGATGCCATCACACTTGCATCCTAGGTTTGCCAAAGTGCAGCCTCTGCAATTGCCATCAACTGGCACTAGAAAAACTATGGAGACATGGGCTCGTAGTCAAGAGATCTGGGTTCTAGTCCTAACACTATCTTTGAGGTCTTGAGTAAGTCACTTTACTTCTCTGAGACTCAGTTTTATTAATTATAAAATGAAAGGTTTTAAATAGATGCTCAAAACTAAGATGCCCTTCAAAACAACGTATGAGTAAATAGGTCTACAGGATCCTCAAAGTCCAGGGTTTCTTAAAGAGTGGGACCTTCTGACTTTCCAATTATAGGTGAGCTGATCAAAACTGAGTTGTTCCAAGCTTCTAGCCAAAATCCAATTTCAGTGATGGTGGGTTTTTCCTTTCTAATATTTAGGCTAAGGCAAAAGCAATATGCCTCACTCAACAATCAACAACATAATTAGGCATCTCCTTCTTCCTCTTTATTTCCTGAAGCCCACCAAATTGTTGGCAAAAGGGGAAAAAAAGCTTCTGGGAGATGAGCTGTGTAAACAGACAAGTCAATTTTCCCAAAGACTTTCCTTGGCAATATCACAGTCACAAACTGGAGTCATGTATTGGGCCTTACATGATGGCAATATTATCTTAACAAGGTACTCACATTTTCCAGAACTCGTCTTTTCAAGGGGGTTGACCTATGGAACTCTAAAATGAGATCTTTCCCAGGAGGCACAGCTAATCTCTCCGTTCTGCTAATCAAACTTAAAAACCCCATACCCTTAAAAACTCAGCTCTGCATTTGGTCTCTGCTTTTCCTCCCCTAAATGAAATCTTTCCAATGGTTCCATATTGGTTTTTCGTGGTGGGACAGACTGCTTGAACCCCTCACAAACTCAGTCCATCCTTACCTTGGCCTATGGACAAGCAAGGCACTCCAGCATGTGGAGTGTCACTTAACAAAGTTTCATTTTATTCCCTTGTCTCAAACACTGAGGAAGCAAAGCCTATTCTTGCAAACTCCGAGAACAACGAAACCAGAAAATATCCCAGCAAGCTCCAAACATACTAGTTGGGAGACACAGAAACATACAGGACAGTTAACATGGAATGTGATAACTACTGGAGTTTGGAACAAAACAATTTCTGGTGGTTGTTATATGTACATTTTTTTCTTAAATGGAGTAAATGCAGGCTGAAAGAAGACAATTTTTATAAACAAGTAAAACCCTGAGCCTAAGATAAATGTTGTGATGTACACACTGTAGCTGTGATGAACTAGACATGGTGAGAAATGCAACATACTGAGAAAAAGAGGAAAACTGTGATAAAAGTGTCACGACGCAAATTGTTTTACATTAACAATATTACACCACAAAGAAAGAAAGACAAATACTCTAATACAGCAGGAGGAGAGGAAAACAAAAGCCTTCAACGTCAGGATGAGAGAAAACTTCCTCTGAAAATATAGGCTGCCATCAGTTCACTAATGAGGGCAGCGGGAGAGAACATCCTTGGGCTGGACATCCCTGGGCTCTAGAATAAAACAGGTGAGAATGGGACAAGAGCCCCTCCCTCCAAGCCTGCAAAGCAAAACAAAATCTCTGGCCTTGTGGCCCCAATGCATCTGTGCAAGTAAAGCAGGGCTTCCCAACCTCTGCAATGACAGGGCTGTATCTCCAAATGAAGATCTGCAGAACAATTCGGTATGAGACTAGGAATACTGACATCCAACTTAACTCTCATCGTTAGTTAGAGTGCACTTAAAAAGAAAGTGCAAAGACAAATGGCACTTACAGGTGAAAAGAA